ATTCTAAACTAACACAAGTCTCATTAAGTGTCCAGTTTAAGGGTATTACACAGAAACACACCACAAGAACATGAATCAAATGAGTACTTTATTCATTTACAATAAATTCATAATGTACATAATTCTGATTGAAGCTAAGGGCATACAACTGTCTAACAATAACAGTAAAGACTGAACCAACTATATGGTTGGCTCCATGAATCATGTTCCATTTTCCACTTTATTCAGTACTATTGTTATGTCAAGAATCAAAGAAGAAGAAGAAGAAGAGAGAAAGCTAAAGGAGAGAGAAAAGAAGAATAGAAGCCAAAAATTGGGCTTGTGGTGTGCAACTTTATCTATAATAAGGTGACTGACATTACATAGGAAAGGACATAAATGCCCTTATACATAGAAATAATTAAAAACTCTCATGTGACAACATTGCCCCTCAGATTGGGTCATAAAAATCAAACATGCCCAACTTGCTATATAATTCATCATGCCTCTTGGAATTCAAACTCTTTGTAAGTACATCCGCCAAATGGTCCTTACTCCTTAGTAGGAACATAGGGAGTGCAACCTCACCATTCTACCCTTCTCACGAATAAAATGCTTATCAACTTTGATATGCTTGGTTTGATCATGGAGAATAGGATTAGTTGCAATGTTGATAGCAACTTTGTTACCACAATAGAGGGACATTTGGTTCTCCACAATCAAAGCAATTTCTTGCATGGGATTCTCAATCCACAAAACTTCTGTAACCCCATGAGTTACAGCTTGGTATTTGGCCTCAACATTCAAATTAGCTATTGCATTTTGTTTCTTGCTCCTCCATGTAACAAGATTTCCACCAATAAATGTGCAGGAACCACTAGTGTACCTCATTAATATTTGACCTTGCCTAGTTAGCTATTGCATTTAGCTTGATATTTGACCTTGCCTAGTTAGCATCGATGTACACCTTTACTCTCATATGATCATGCTTAGTGAACAACAACCCCCTATTGGGATGCTTTTTTTAAGTAAACAAGAACTCTTTGTAGTAATAAAGTGAGCAACTTTGGGTGCATGCATGTGTTGACTAACACCCAAAGTTGAGGAGTGGGAGCAAAAGTTGATGTTGCTTGTTGAGACGACTCCCTAGTAAATGTACTTGCTTGAGTTGCCAACTGAGCAGCAAGAGATGAAATTTCTGCATAATTTATTTTCCATCTTTTGTTGCATCTCTTGAATTTGTTCTTCTAAACTTGAGGTGCTAGTCACCATGTCTGGCATGAAATTTGACTCCTGACCTTCTTCTGAAGGCATGACATTTTTTTTTTTTTGTAAATGGGATGTTATTTCATTTACAAATTCATTTTCTTAAATTGAAGATTCAATATCTTAATGGATTAGATTGGCTTTTGAAGTGACAGAACACTAGTCAAACTTGAACTTGAACTGGCTTCAAAACTTTGCAACAATCGAGCACTCACTCGAGTGATAGGGCCCTTATAAGGCTTGAACTCTTCATTAGGCATAGTATCTATATATCCCCTTGGTTCAAAGTAGAAACCAACTTATTTGGCAAACATGTATCCCGAAATAAAAACCCATTTTTAGCTTCCATGTCCGATTTTGCTTTCTTTGATCTTTCTGCAACAAAATCAGCAAGGGAAATAGGAGCACTACTTTGTGGCTTTCTAGCCTTTGGAGGTCTCTTGGACCTAGGCTTACGGATGGAAGCTAAAGATTGTTTTGAAGATCCTCTAATTGTAGTAGGAGGTTTCTGATTAAAAATAACTTTCTTCCTCTAAGAGGAAGAACCTTTTCCACTTGAACTTCCGAGTTCAATTACCCGGGCTTCAATTGTGTAGATGGAGCATCTATTGCCTTCTCTTCTGTAGCCTTGGTAGAGGCTTGGGGAGAGATTCTTCCTAAAAAATAGTCACCATCATGATTGGTGTTGCAGGAGGAGCTGGCAAATTCATAGGAATGGGTTCCTATCATAATTTGAGTTGGGGCAATGACCTTAGCCCTTGGTTTGGAAGCCTTTACTGGGGAAACCACCTTTGATTTTGTATCAAGGTTGATGAGGCAACCTTCTTGGTTGTCTTTGCCTTTGGAGGCTTAAAACCCGCCTCTTTTGGTAGAGTTAAGCATAGCTTGTACACGAAGCCTTCTTCTCACAAGATAAGTCTTAGTGACCTTTATATTTTTTTTTTGATGAATGATAATAAATTTATTAATTCAGAAGCAAATTTAGAGTGAGTTCATACAACATCCCGGCGAGAGGCGCGAGCTGCAGCCCCTCCTTGAACCTTACAAGTAAACTAGGAAAGAAAAGCAAGAATCACAACTGAGCCCAAAATAATTCTTCCCTATTTACCCCTTGCTTAGCTAACACATCTGACAAAGTATTTGCTGATCTCCCCACCCACTGTACAGTGACCAACATATTCCTT